CGGCTTGTGAATGCTTTGTTGAATGAAATTTAAGTTACGTATGTTCAGATTTGTCTTGCAAAGTGAGGGCTTTTGTTTTCAAGGGACACTTTTTCATATTTTAACATCACAACAGCTCACCAGTGAATGAAGATCAATGATTCAGCAGTAATAGCAATCTTTATAAACATGTTGACACGTTTCATCATGGTCCATTCACACTCTGATTTGAAAAATTAAAATATTCTGACCGTTCGGTCATTCAAGCTTTGATGACCAAATGCGCGTAATGAGTGGATCACAACTTAATTCTTTGCCGCCCCATACACGGCAGACTACGAAAAATGACTAACTTATAAGGACTAGGAAATTATCACCTGGCCCCGCCGGCTTCATCTGTTCTCTCTTATTACGGGAGGTAATAAATTGTACCTCTCAAACTGACCTTCATTGGGCCATTAAAATCTTTCCAGCTCAGTGACGAATGACTGGAAGCAAGTGAACAGCCGCTGAGAAGCACTGCCAGAGTTCACATAAAGCCGAAATACCACCTCAACACCTCAATTTTTTGTAATAGCCTCGAAGATTTTAACCAAATGGAATGCTCTTGATCCACAACTTCTTCAAGTTTGCCCATCTCAGACATTGGGTGATCGTAGTAAAACTTATGACGCCTCGGGTATGAACGCAACCAAAACCCGACTAGATAAAGCTATGCAGAGGCATTTGTTTCGCCTAAAGGTGCCCCTAACAAACTAGTAAATGATCACTATCGACTTAGCTTCACTATCAGTTTTGGGAAATTTCCGGTCAAACGGCCAGTTCTTAGATCAACGGGAGAAAACTCAAGAATATTTTAAGAAGCGGCGTCAGGCAAATTTGGCCTATTAGGCTATTATTCAATGCCATTGCTAATAAACTATACTATGACACACAAAAAATGTTTGAGAATCTGCATGCAGGCTCCGTCACAGTAACTCCTTACTTGCCATGAGGCACCGTCGAGGCTGTAGGACTGCTGGCCTTCAGTCTAAAACAATCTTATCCCACTGAGTGCATGTTCCCGGTGACCGCTGAGATCAAAGCAGGGTGTACAAGTAAGGCTGTTTGATGGCATTATAATTAGGATTTACTGACGTGTAATATTGATGAATTATTTAAACCCATGTTCGTGGTTGTTGACGACCATAAATGCGCCGTTTTTGAAGTAAAAGTGTACTGATTTTGTACATTTTTTTTGTTTTAACGCTTAGGCTTATTGTGTACTTTAATTCAACGAATGTGTTGATTTAGGAACTTCACAGTGGGTAATTTTTACGTGCATTGATCTTTGTATCAAGATTGAATGCATACGACATGCGCGAAATGTTATAGCAGATTATATTTCATTTTTTTCATCATGTAAATTTAATCTTTAAAGCATTAACTTCGTCCATCTCTTTGGCCTGCATCCGTGGATTGGAGCCATTTCCTACCATCGCTATCTTCTATGGCATAAATATGAACAATTGGTTTACTACGACATTCCCCTGCTTCAAAGTCATACCGTGCAACAAAGTTCATTAAAACGCTTGAAAATTGCACCCAGGCAAGGGACGGGCCATTCCAATCTCGCAGAGCTTGTTTGCCACCATCCTACCCCTTAAATGAACCTCGGGCGACTTTTGTGAGGTCTTGCCTTGGCTGAATAATGATAGCCGGCGTATCGCCGGTTTAACGTCGGCGGATGATGGCCAGCAACGAGTCTGCACAAATAGTAATCGTCTTGCTAGGCACGAACGTAAATCACACTTGGTTGCTACGGGCATTTCCCGTCGCGTAGACCCAAGGTCGAGTCTTGTTCTTTGTCGCTGCATTTTCGTCGCTCCTTAAAAAAGGCGGACCATGCAGGACAGAATTCCCGCAAGCTTTCCGGCAACAGAAAGCGGATTCCCGCGAGCCGCTCATTTCGGCTGGTTCGGGGACGTTCTTTGCAACATCATTAATAAATAATGAAAGTTTTTTTAGCTCGTATATGATCAAGATTTATAATCGAAGTTAGACTTTACGGCTCTTCTGCTTTTCATGTTCTCCAGGACACACAACATCTGATGGTGAATAGAAAAGTAACTAAATTCACGAATTGTAAGTGAGCGATAATGTACGAATTGTAAGTGAGCAATAAGGTATTCCTGTTAATGAAAGGCAGCAAATTTTTTCAGATTCCTTTCGCTTCTGACTTCAGATTTTGTCTGTGTCTTATATCAGTTATATGGATATTCTTTCCTTCGGGTTGTGTGCACAGTGCATATCAGATAACAGCGTGCGTGTACTGACTGACATTCAGCTGTTAGAAAGACACAAAACTTGCTTGGTCTGAGCTACAAGTGTTGGAAAGTTACTAAACAAACGTGTTTTAACTTATAGCTCTCAGCAAGACTTAGAACGAGTGTATACTGCCCCCCCAGCTGTTAGACAAGACACACTGCAAGCGTTGAGCAGGGGCATACGGCCTACTCCTTTAGCCTACTTCTTCGGCGAGCTTACAGTGACCTTCGGCAGGTAGCCAAGTGAGCACGGGCCATCCTGCTAATGTAAACTAAATCCATCCGAGAGCCTGCAGCATCTTGCGGCAGGTCGCCAAGTGACAGCTTGTGCACATGCCGTCCTGCCAAGTCCCTCCTATGTGACTGCAGCGTCCTGCTGCAGGTAGCCTGCAGCATCTTGCGGCAGGTAGCCAAGTGAGCACGGGCCATCCTTCTAATGTAAGCCAATTCCATACGAGAGCCTGCAGCATCCTGCGGCTGGCCGCCAAGTGACAGCTTGAGCACATGCCGCTGCCAAGTACCTCTTAAGTTACTGCAGCGTCCTGCTGCAAGTAGCCGGCGGCTTCCTGAGGCAGGCTACCTGCAGCATCTTGCTGCAGGTAGCCTGCAGTATCCTGCGGCAGGCCATCAATTGACAGCGCGAGCACACAACGTTCTGAAGTGCCACTCCAACACTTGCTCCCGTCGAGGTCGTCGAAAGGAGTCAGCGATCTTGTGACGCGGCCGTGCAACTTGAGATGCCCTCGACGTCTGCCATTAAGGGCATTAGCGAATTTTTTCCTTTGCAAATCCTTTGTCAACTTGAGGCTTAGCCACCCCCGAGGAAGGACGATTGCATTTAGAAGACGATTATTCACAGGTACATCGGCTCAAGTACGAGTGACGATTGCTGCTGTTTGTCAATCAGAAAAATTCCTTCGATCGTTATAATCGTCATTACGTGATTTAATCATATACGTTTTTTTTCTTTGAAGGAGATATGAGATCTGTCATTTTCTTAAAAAATTCATTTAGCTGGCAAACGTAAACTAAATTTTTCCTGGTCTTCAATAACGCCATCACTCTTCCTGATTGTCATTTCCTTGTGACTGCGCTAATGTAATCCTTCACTCGATCAAAAAGAAACATTGCGGCATGTTGAAGCATTTATTAGTAAAAAGTTAGTATGTTGAAATATGTTAGCTGTTGAAACATCACAGCGTGTTAAATAATATGCCCATGAAAGTACTGGGCATCGTGTTAGAGTATGTAGTGTGTCTGTTAAAATAATTTAGAACATATTAATTAATCAAGTTTGCAAGTTATAGCAAGATTTTCGGGCTTACGTGCCAGTGCATGTTTGAACATATCAAACACGTAAAAATGTACTAGCATGTTTGTGCCTTATGAAAATGCAAGCATATTTAAACATGTAGGGATGTTAGAGCTAATTTGAAAATGTTATAAACATGAGCCTGTTAGAGCATGTTTGACCATGCTAATCGTGTCTGAATGTTGCAATGAGTTTGAACACTTTAATCATGTTAGCACGCTTCTGCATGTTCGACTTGATAGCATGGCGCAACACATTCACTGCTCATAATTTAAGCTCATATTGGTGCACATTAAACATGTGAAACATATTATAAACTTTTTGGAACATTTTAGCATATTGGAACATGTAAGAACCTGTCTCAACATGCAAGCAATTCAAATAATGGAAGTTATGCGCATATGAAATATTTTGTTTATCTACGACAAGTATTAAAATATCTATTAATGTGTCTCCACAAAAATTCACTGCAATTCGTTCTTTTGAATTTTTTTTGTAGACATTGTGATGAGAAGGAAGGCTCGTCATCTGCCAGAAGCTTTATGGTAAAAACAAATGTCCACGACAATCACATACAATATTGTCATTTCTAGACAGAGTGACAAGCATTTTGCAAGACACAAATTTGATAAGGACATGGCGCTAAACCCTCATATTCATTTTTTCAAGTCACGCGCAAACAGATGAACTGCTTATAAAATCTAGGAAATGCCTGGCAAAATGTGTTCAAGTTTGCTAGTGAGATTTAGCGACGATACGAAAGTGCCGAGTCACCGCTTCATTGCTGCCTCAATAGTGACTTTCGTGGGTGCATCTCCAGCTTTGTCGAGGTCAACGCGTGAGCAAATACAGTGGCTGATTTAATTAGATGTGGAAAAGGTTGTGGCTTCAAAGCAACAAGCAAATGCTGGGTAAAAGTTCTGCGATAACAGATTTCTCTATTGAGTGTTGGAAACTTCATTATTATCGTAGAAGCGTGATTATAGATTCGTACATTGAAATTCGTTTCCAAATTATCATCCAATTTGCGTTTCAACGTTTTCATAAGTGATACAGTAAATCAAATTGTTTACAATTGTATTCGCAGCAACATGCGTTTCTATATTATAAACAACAAGTTTTATTTAAGGTTGAAACACTAAATCAATTGTCACAGACTTGTGTAAATTTTGGAAGCGAAGCTTGAAATCGTCCATTGCATTTAAACTAGACGCTAACTGAAAATTGACGTGCATCATTTAATGACACAAGGTGGAGTGCGCTACACTCAAGGGGTTGAACAGAATCATCTAACTTGCGTGTTTCTGAGAGACCCCGCGCGATGAATGTGGTACAGGGCAACCCGCCGGCAGCTGACCTCTTGAAGGGAAGAGGCTCGTAAGCATATATAAGAGGCTGCAACCCTCGCTGCACTCACTGCACTCCAGGCATCCACGACTGGAGGTTGTCTCATAGGCTGCAGCTCACGACTCGATCCCAAACCCTTGTGTTTCCGAGAAACTCTCGATCCGTCCGACAGCTCCAAACCGAAAAATCTTCTTAGTTTCCGAAAGCTCTTTGCTCTGCAGTGGCAAGGATTTATATTTCCAGGTGAGGACTTATGTTCATTAGTTTACTGTCTTCACGAATTTCATCCGTTCACTTTTGTGAGAAGTGTTAACAAGATACCCATACGAACAATGTCATCAGCATACCTCTATCAGTATACATTGTCAATACCTATCTATCAATGTCATCAGTATACATTAAAGCTACGGGACTTATCAAATTATTTTCAAGCGAGCTACTTATATGAGTATTATTTCAATTAGTCTTGGATAATCTGACTGCAATGTTCTCACAAATAGTGTTTTGATCGATAACGATGCCTAACCTTTAATGCTATTTTATCCATTAATTTGTTTTAGCGGACTTTTTTGATGACATCAAAGGAACAAATGTTATGTAGTTTGCCAACAAAATACTTCAAATGCGATACAATTGCACTTGATTAATTCTAGTGATTGAGAACCATTCACAAAGACCAGAGTTATTGATACTGAAATATAATTTGATTTACATATCACAGTTAATCCAACAGAAACTTCCTGTGTATTTTACAACACTTCTCTTTAACTTCACTTCTTGTTGTTTGTTTGTTTGTCTGCTACAAATCTTAAAATCGATATTTAAAACACTTCTACCTCTCCAATCAATCTGAAAATTTGTCCACTTGCGTAAAGTTGAAGACAATGCATGAATCAATTGACAGAATAAATAATTTAGAAAAAATATAATTTTTTTTATTTTAAGAATACAATTTATAAATTAATTTTTTATATTTGATAGTAAGTAAAATTAGAAATTCATTGTACATTTGTAACATCAAAGACACTGCATTCTTTTGAAGTGTTGTCTTTAAAAAGTAATTTTTAATCGCATATTATTCTGCGTAGGTTTCTGATCATCTATGCTATCATATTCCCGCTCTCTAAATTCATATTTAACACCAATATGCATAGATTTGAAGCATGCGCTACTCGACCAACCACGTACACTTTAAGTGATGTTTTTTGTGCCTTGAGAAAGCTCTGTCCTGGCACCCACTTTCTACCCGCCTTGCTCTGTTTGTACATCATAGCACGCCAAACCCCTTAACATTTAAAATTAGGGTCATTTTATGATTTAATTTTCACGGAGCCCGATAATGTATGTAATTTTATCGAAAAAAAAGTTTTTTTAAGTTTTCACGGAGCCCGATAATGCAGGTAATTTTATCGAAGAAAAAAAATTATTTTCAAAATTTTTGTACGCGAAGGCAAAATTTTTTAATCAAACCGATTTATTTTCTATACTTGTAATATATGAGTCATGAAACATGAAATAGATAAGTCCCAGCATCTGTTTGCTTAGATCATCCCTCGACAAAACATAGTCAATAAAACTCCGTCCTTTATTAGAGATGAGATCCCAGCAGTGAACCCACTAAGTTTTCTCAACTGTCCTGAGCAGTGAGTAGAAAATGGAGAGCAGAAGAGAGAAATTATTGAAGCTTGACCGAGCACGCTCGGAAAAAATTTACCTGTCTGTATCTGTGCCACACATTATTTTTTAAACTGCGAAAAGCAGCAAAATTGCAAAATGTTTTGTTTAAATTAACAGTCAATTAGTGTTAATTGCTGTTAGTCATCTATTCAAAAAATGTCATCCGTTCAAAAATGTGATTTTTTAATGTCATCTGTTTTTTTAATGTCATCTGTTCATAAATAAACTTGAAGATTGCGAAAACTAAACATTATTTTAGTGTTCAGATGAGATTAAAATCAAGTCATCATATGCGCATAATTTGCTCCCAAAGAGTGTCTTGTCCTTAACAAAGCTGCTTGTGTCCTGCAACCTCGACTTTCTAAACAGGAACTCGTGCATAAGTGGCGGGCGTTGTGCGCCGACGCCAGGTGAAAAGAGTCATAAAATATATTGATTATCATTCCAACTTAAATTTTCCATTCAATGTTTTTCTTACTTATAATCTTCTTTAAAAAAATTAATCCGGAATAATGGATTTAAAATACAAGAATACTCATAACAATTAAGAACATACGTATTGATATTAACGAATTAACAACAATGTAAGTAAAACTCAGTCAATATTTACGTTGAGGACTGAGTATATAGTTACTTCGATTAGCTTAAAAACATTTGTAGTAATGCAATCACAAACACTCTGAGCAAGCGTTGTAATTAATATTCCGATCAGATTCAATAATTTAAACATGACTTGTCAAAGATTTATTATAGATCTTGCATTTATGAAAGATTATCCTATTACAGTATCCTATGAATCAGAGAAACGTGTAAGAATTTTTCTAAATGGCAATTTGTTCTTTACGCTTTTTTGGGGTCGTCCAGTTTGGCCCTACAAAAGAGCATTTCAGTAGTGTGTCCGCTCTGCTCGAACTGAGGGATAAGAAAAATGCGTCGCTATTTGGACAAAATGCCCACATTATTTTTCTTAGTGTGCCTATCACACCATCTTCTAACCTCGACCATACAAAGCCTACACGCAGGTCACGATAGCTACGTCGCTACAGAAGATGCGTACAAACAATACTTCTGTAAGGCTAAGGGGACCTCGACGCTGCTTAGGTAGTTATCTCCCGCAAAGGTAGAAAGCTTTCTCGCTGTAAAAAAAGTTATTATTGAAATGATACGTGAGAGTTTGCACGTTTGTACTATATGTTTTTAATTTTCTACTATGACTATGAACATGAAAATCATAAGACTTTGCCATGAGATGAACATGATTTCTGGCTTTTGATGATGGTAATTTAGTCACCAGAACGACTTCCAGCAGAATGAAAAATGCCATTTCAAGTATTTCATCGAACACTAAAACTTATTTCAATTCCTGGATGCTAAACGATTTAATGGTAATTTCATCAGAACCCTTAATTAATCATAGATGTGATTGTTCGGACATTTTTCATGTACATATTCACCCCAGCATGGAAATTCAATTTTCACCTATGCATCTATCGTAGTCGACAGAAAGCAATACTGCAAATTCAATAAAACTTTCTTGGATCACCAATAACCTTCTTGTATTATAACACAAAATAATAATAACTTAGATGCCCATTAACATAAGTGAATATTTTCTTGAGAATTCCTCTATCAATTCATATGTTGCAGATGTATTTGTTCATATGCAGATATTCAATTTTGAACATCTCCATATATTTATAAGATTACCAACTGTAGTTCTTATTAATTTCGTGGCGGAAGAACGACTGCCGAATAATTGTGTAGTCTTTATGAGGACAAGCGAAATGAATTGCACGTAAGGGAAAGTGTTTCTGACTGATGCTTATTTTTTCCTGATTTGCATGGATTCCATTGTTTCATTGTCTCTAGCTTATCAGTACAGTGAACGCTTTCCTCGTCTTTAACCTAAAGTACGCACTAATGGCAGGGAAAGTAAGTCAGGTTTAGGAATGACTTCATAACAATTACTAAATCTTATAGTGTATTTATGAAACTTATGTATTATTTTGAAAAATTATCTTAACACTCACCTGCACGAATTATGATCACAAGTTATTTAACATTTCAAAATTAAAAATAAAATCACAAATATTTCTGTCTGCATGTTTATTATATTATTCAATAATTTCGAGCATTCCATTTTATAGTACGGCAAGATCATCACCACCACATTTGCCAGAGCTTGCATGGTTATCATATTTCGACATCTTATTTAACCTCAGTGTCACAATTGAGCTCCTGAAAAGAAACCTTCCCAGGAGTTGCGCATTATGTAATTTGCCCTCAATTGAGAGTAGATTATACCATTTACCCTCAAATTAGGGTAAATTACTTGAAGACGAATTATCACGTGAACCTTGAGACCATGACAAGCTTATCTCACCCCAATGATAATTTGAACGTATGATGTTATTTCAAGGCTTGGCAGTCATGAAATTACGATATAATTCAGTAAAATGATTGAATGACTGCTGTAATACTTTAGTGAGATATAGAAGATAAGAATGTGATAGGACAGGCGTTGATGAAGGGATTATAGATTTATCGCTGCATATGAAAGAGCGCTCAGAATGCATTCTTTGTCAAAATAATAAAGAAAAAATATAACTCAGTACTCACAGCAGTGAGTGACAGAGAGCGCACTTTCTCGTCGATGAAAACTTGAGGTCACGGACAGACGGACGGACAGACAGGCAGACAGACGGACATGGCGAACACAATAATGCATTTTTTCCATAAATGAGAAAATGCGCTAAAAATGGGTAATGAATTTTCAAAAACTCATACATTTATGAAGTCAGAACCAAATTTTAACATTATTTCGAAATAAATTGATAATTAAACGTTATTGATTGCGTATTTTTTAAGTCGAGCCGCCTATACCCTCGAAAAAGTACAAGCTATGTTTTTATTATAGGATATATTGCAGCCCGGCAGTTCTAATAGATAAATTCTTCTAAGAACATTGTTGGGGCACCTTTTGAATAATTAGCCTGTCATATGTATTTTTGAAATTTTTATTCAGAAATTTTTACAGCCCTTGCAAGATCTTTCTAACAGTTGAATACTCTCAAACCAGTACAAATAACGTGAAATGACAGTTCACTCTGACCAAGATTATAGCTGAAAAATTTACGTTCATTGCTTCCAAGACTGGTTATGAAACCATGGGTTATTTGCGGTAGGAACCAGTTTTTCACTGATTCCTCAAGCAGTTTCCTTAAACATATAAACATACCTTAGTTTTTGGAAAATTTCCACGAAAGATTCATGGGCAGTACAGCTTCGAAATAGGCAGTATAGCTTCGAAATAGGCAGTTCAGCTTCAAAATAGACAATATAGCTTCGAAATAGGCAGTACAGCTTCGAAATAGGCCGTACAGATGGCGGCAATACAGCTTCACGGGCTGTTTCCATAAGGTTTACAGGAAAAGTTCATGTGCTCTTTAGAGGATGTCGGCACGACAGGTTCATGGGCTGTTGCGGAGGGGTTGGCATGACAGGTTCAAAGGCTGTCTTAGGAAGGCCAGCGTGGCAGGTTCATGAGTTGTTTCTGGAAGGTTTAT